ATACCTTTATTTTTGAGTTGAGCTTCAAATTTATCAATGGAATCGTGAGCATTCAGGAATCTGAATGGAAACTGCCGGCTGTGGATCACCGACTTCTGAAAAGCAAAGGGATCATGAGCAGAGGACCAGGGAGTATGAAGGGCAAAAGGGGCCTCAGGAACCAGGACAATGAAGTGACCACTATGAGATTTGTAGGAAGGTCAAGGACAAAATGGTCTTAGGGAAAAGATATTAAAAAAAGGGAAAGACAAGGAAAGTCATCATTTTAGAGTATGAGAAGAGGTGAAGTAAAAAAGGAAGTGATGGAAGGAGTCCTGTTTCTTTCATACGAGACTCCTGAAGTCAGCTAAATGACAGAAATGCTTCTTCCTATAAGTCACGGAGCTCAAAAAACAAAAAATAAAGTTCTTTCTTTGTTTTTAAGAGAGATTTTTGCTATAAGGCACATGTGCTTGCTGGAGAGACAGAGATAGACAGAAAGCAAAAAATCACACATGCCCCAGGGAAGGATGACCACGCTGCAATCTTTTCCCCTCTATTCTCCTGTTGGGATCTTGGGCACACATGCACACATGCTCAGCGTGAGTTTTAAGCTGCCAGGTCCAGACCTTGAACCATGGTCAACTAGGTGGGAGTCCAGCAACATAGTCCTTATGCCATCTGCTGGTCCCAAAATGAAAGTTCTTATACTCTACTGTAATTTCTCAAATGGTTGAAGGAATGCCATGCCTATTTCCCTCAACCTATCTGTACTTCCACACGTATTTCCAGCCCAAGTGGAAACACCTTGGTGGTAATAATAGAGCTCACATAAAATCTCAGCTGCCTGGAAAAGCCTGGCCTCAGAAGCAGCATCTCCACAGCCATGTCGAGTAGCTGGGTCACCCGGTCACCCGGCTGTCACATACCGCATGCTGGAGCCTCTGGAGAATGAGCTCATGGTGGCGGGCACTGATTCCAACCCGCAGCAGGTTGCACAGGTTCCGGAGCATGGCCATGAAGGGAAGCTTCCCATTGTCTGTGGAAGATGGGGCATGGGGTGAGAAAAGCAAACAGTGGATGATGGAAGAGTAGCCAGAGACCAGAGCTGGATGTTCAGAGGTCAAGAAGGACTTTCAAAATAGAGGGAGTGAGGAGCTGACATTTGGTCTATTCTATTCAAAACACTTTAAAGGTCAGGCCAGCAACTGGCGTGGAGGTTAAAGCATTAGATTCCACATGATCAACTGCATGGTTTGAGTCTCAGACCCAGCGTCTTCAAACTCACTCTGGGTGCATGTGCATACATGCCCCAAATCCTGAGAGGTGAATGGAGGAGAAGGGATTGTGGTGTGGCCATCCCCACTGGAGAGATTTCTCACTTTCCCTCTCTCTCTCCAGGAAGTGCATGCACCTTATTGGAAAAAATCTTAAAAAAAAAAAAAAAAAAAAAAGCTTTAAAGGTCTGGAAAGATAAAAACAGGGTTGGCCTGCAGTTTGGAGGATAATTTATATAACACTACTTACAAGGTGACTGTTTCAATGAACAAATTACATTACCTGTCTCTTAGATTTAGCCCTTAAAGTGGATTCAACTGGCAATATGTAATCTCTAGTCCAGAAAAACAGTTTCTAAACTTCTTCAATAACTAAAAGAGAAATTTCTACTGTGGGTTTATTTATAAATCATACATATATTACATTCATTAGTTCATTTTATGTGTGTGTGTGTTAGGCCAGAGGGCATATGCACTCACCAGACACAGAGAAAAGGGGAAAAAGCATCCCTTAGTAGGGTGTGATCATGCTGCAATCCCTTCTCCTCCATTCCTCCATCCTGTCAAGATTTGGAGCATGCATGCCAAATCAGGCCTGACATATTTTTCAGGACACCAGGGCCAAGATTCAAATCATACAGTTGGCCATGTAGGAGCCATATCCCTCAACCACTAGGTCATGCAATCAACCTCATTATTAACATTTAAGGCACAATATATATCTAAGGTTACCATTAATAACAATGACTATAAATTCATATTTCAAATAGTCTTCATAGTTTTTAAGTTTTTAGTCAACTTCTTATAAAATTGATTAAATAATAATTTTTTTTGTTTGTTTTGTTTTTTGAGAGGTTTTCACTATAGGGCACGTGCACTCGCCAGAAAGAGAGAGACAGAGAGATAGAAAGCGAGAAATCACCCCCCAGGGGGATGGCCACACCGCAATCCCTTCTCCTCCATTCTCCTCTCGGGATCTTGGGCACGCACACACACGCGCCCAGTGTGACTTTAAGCCACCAGGTCCAGGACTCTAACTGCGGTCAACTACATGGGAGTCCAGCGACATAGCCATTACGCTAACTGCTGGTCCCAATCATTATTTTTTGCTTAACCATAGGTGATTAAGATTTACGCTAGAGAGGTCAGCAGTTGGCATGGTAGTTAAGGCGCTGAACTCACACATGGCAGACTGCTGTTCAAGTCCCAGACCTGGTGGTTTGCTTTTGCACTTTCTCTCTCTCTGTCTCTCTCTGGTCAAATAAAAGAATAATAATAGTAATAATAATAATGAATGAAATTAAATTAAATATTTTTTTAAAAGATTCGCACTGAAAGTATTAGGGAGACAAAAAAGTCATGATGTATTTTTCTATGTTTTTATATGCAAAATGTGTAACAAGGGCCAGCAGATAGTGTAATGGTTACATCACTAGACTCCCACATGGTCCATCATGGTTTGAATCCCAGGCCCAGCAGCTTGAAACTCATGCCAGATGTGTGTGCATGCATGCCCAAGATCCTAGGAGGAGAATGAAGAAGGGAATACAGCATGGCCATCCCTTCTAGGGGGTGATTTCTCGCTTTCTGTCTCTTTGTCTCTGTCTCTCTGGTGAGCACACGTGAAAAAAAAAAATCTCTTTTTAAAAAAAGAGTGTCATGGCTTTCCTGATGACCCAGTAAAATTTCACTGCTGGGGCCAATAGGTGGTGCAGTGGTTAAGGATGTGTCCCACATGACCAATTTCATGGTTTGAGTCCTAGACCCAGAGGTTTGAAAATCATTCCAGGCAAGTGTGTGTGTGTGTGTGTGTGTGTGTGTGTGTGTGTATGCATGCCCAAAAAATCCCAAAAGGAGAAGGGACTACAGCATGGCCACCTCGCCTCCCCATCACTTTGGTGAGTACACAGGCTCTATGGTAAAAATCTTTAAAAAAAAAAAAAAAATCATCATCTTTGAAATCCCTTAGCTGGTCTTCCGGTGTTCTGATTCTTTTTCCCATCTCTGCCTCTCATTTTGGACTCCTGAGGCAGAGTGATCCTTTTCCAAGGTAAATCAGATCATGTCACGCCCTGCTCATAATCTCCCATCCCAGTCAGAAGCAATTCACACCCTACACCCCAGATCCCCAGGCCTTCGTGACCAGCTATCCCATCACCCCTGGTCCTCTTATCTTGCTCACTCAGCCCCCCAGCCACGGGGACTTGCTGTTCCTCAAACCCATGGAGCACAGGCTTGCCCAGAGCCTTGGACGTGCTGACCCTGCACCTGCTGTACTCTGTCCCAGGTACTCAGGTGGCTCCTGACTCCTCCATTGAGTCTGTGCTCCCTGCTGCCCCCTAGTGTAGGTCATCCACGCAGTCACTTCCCTATCCTTGGTAAGGTAGCACTCCCGGCTGTTTATTATTGCCTATCATCTATCCTGCAGACTAAGATGTAATTTTGGTGACAGCAGTTTTATCTGTCCACTGATGCATCCTCTTGTCTAGAAGGGTACTTGGCATACAGTAAATACTCGACAGCTACTTATGAAACGAAGGAGCCAATGGAACATACTGGAATCACGCAGCCAACGCAACACCAGTCAGGAGCAGTAATTAGATGCCGCTGGGACATAAAGCTCCATGACTGCATGACACAGAGCCCAGAACACTGGTGTGCAGTGTAGCCCAGGCCCGTACAGAGAACTCAGAGCTGACTGAGCCCGCTCCCTATTAAGATCATGAAAACTTGGCCGGCTCTGTGGCCTGGAGGTTGAGACATTTGGATCCCACCTGGCCAATCGTGCAGTTTAACTCCCAGACCCGGCAACTTGAGAAACACTAGGTGCATGTGTGCCGAGGGTCCAAGGAGAGGAAGAGATTGGGGGGACTGTGGCATGACAGTGCCCCAAAGTATTAGGGAGACAAAAAAGTCATGATGTATTTTTCTATGTTTTTATATGCAAAATGTGTAACAAGGGCCAGCAGATAGTGTAATGGTTACATCACTAGACTCCCACATGGTCCATCATGGTTTGCATCCCAGGCCCAGCAGCTTGAAACTCATGCCAGATGTGTGTGCATGCATGCCCAAGATCCTAGGAGGAGAATGAAGAAGGGAATACAGCATGGCCATCCCTTCTAGGGGGTGATTTCTCGCTTTCTGTCTCTTTGTCTCTGTCTCTCTGGTGAGCACACGTGAAAAAAAAAAATCTCTTTTTAAAAAAAGAGTGTCATGGCTTTCCTGATGACCCAGTAAAATTTCACTGCTGGGGCCAATAGGTGGTGCAGTGGTTAAGGATGTGTCCCACATGACCAATTTCATGGTTTGAGTCCTAGACCCAGAGGTTTGAAAATCATTCCAGGCAAGTGTGTGTGTGTGTGTGTGTGTGTGTGTGTGTGTGTGTATGCATGCCCAAAATCCCAAAAGGAGAAGGGACTACAGCATGGCCACCTCGCCTCCCCATCACTTTGGTGAGTACACAGGCTCTATGGTAAAAATCTTTAAAAAAAAAAAAAAAAAATTCACCTCTGTAACTTTCTTACTGTCATGTGTCCCTGTGATATTAGTATTATCTTCAAGCCACAGTTTCTTTTTCTGTTTTTGTTTTGTTTAGTTTTGTTTCAATTTGCTAGAGTGAGCATATGTTTCCCAGAGAGACAGAGAGAGAAGGAAAGGTAGAAAACACATCCCGGTGGGCATGATAACACTGCAAATCCTTGTCCTCCATTTCTCTATCCTGTCAATATTTTGGACAGACACACAGGAGTTCCCAGTGTGTTTTCCAAATCACCAGTGACAAGATTTGAACCATGCTGTCAGCCATGTGGGATTTAGCTCCCTTAACCACTAGGGCACAGAACTGGTCTGCCAGTTTCTTAACAATAATCTTTTTAGGGCTTTCTCAATTTTAGAGGGTTAATTTGGTTAGTACTTATAATAATAAACCCATTAAATTCAAAGATTATCTGCTATAAGTCACATTATACAGAAACCAAAAACAAGAGTGAAAGGGTACTATCGATACCTTGGACTAGTGGAATTCCTACTCTCCCCTCAACAGCCTCAGCTATCACACTTAACAGGTAACGCTACGACATATGGACTAAGTAACTGTAGTCACCACTCAGTGTTCTGGAGGTACAGGTTCCTGGATTCCCCACATATTCCAAAACTGGTGGATGCTCAAGTCCCTTATATAAAATGATATAGCATTTACACATAGTCCATGCTTTTGTTAAGATGTATATTATAGTAATTTAGAGATAACTTAAAGTAAACGTCCTCCTGGGTACTTCACGTTATCTCTAAATTACTTATAATACACGTCTTAATGAGCTACCTGCCTAGCTGATACTGTAAACAAATGATCCCAGTTGCTACAAGTACACATTGTGCATTATGAGCCCACTTGTGGCAGTGTTACTGGGATGTATGATGTATAAAACAACAGAAAGCCGATGAGAAGTGTGTGCTATCCCTTTTTGTGGTTAAGTTTTTGCTGTAGTGCACGGGCACTTGAGATAGGTGGCAGAGGAGAGAGGGAAAGTGAGAAGTCAGCCCCCAGGAAGGGATGGCCACACCCAATTCCTTCTCCATTCTCCTCTTGGGATTTTGGCAACACACACACGCCCATTGCAACTTTCTTTTCTTTTCTTTTTTAAGAGAGATTTTTGCAATAGAGCATGTTTGCTCACCAGAGAGACAGAAAGCAAGAAATCCCCAGTGTGACTTTAAGCCACCAGGTCCAGGACTCTAACTGCGGTCAACTACATGGGAGTCCAGCGACATAGCCATTACGCTAACTGCTGGTCCCAATCATTATTTTTTGCTTAACCATAGGTGATTAAGATTTACGCTAGAGAGGTCAGCAGTTGGCATGGTAGTTAAGGCGCTGAACTCACACATGGCAGACTGCTGTTCAAGTCCCAGACCTGGTGGTTTGCTTTTGCACTTTCTCTCTCTCTGTCTCTCTCTGGTCAAATAAAAGAATAATAATAGTAATAATAATAATGAATGAAATTAAATTAAATATTTTTTTAAAAGATTCGCACTGAAAGTATTAGGGAGACAAAAAAGTCATGATGTATTTTTCTATGTTTTTATATGCAAAATGTGTAACAAGGGCCAGCAGATAGTGTAATGGTTACATCACTAGACTCCCACATGGTCCATCATGGTTTGAATCCCAGGCCCAGCAGCTTGAAACTCATGCCAGATGTGTGTGCATGCATGCCCAAGATCCTAGGAGGAGAATGAAGAAGGGAATACAGCATGGCCATCCCTTCTAGGGGGTGATTTCTCGCTTTCTGTCTCTTTGTCTCTGTCTCCCTGGTGAGCACACGTGAAAAAAAAATCTCTTTTTAAAAAAAGAGTGTCATGGCTTTCCTGATGACCCAGTAAAATTTCACTGCTGGGGCCAATAGGTGGTGCAGTGGCCACCAGTGACAGGATTTGATCCATGCTGTCAGCCATGTGGGATTTAGCTCCCTTAACCACTAGGGCACAGAACTGGTCTGCCAGTTTCTTAACAATAATCTTTTTAGGGCTTTCTCAATTTTAGAGGGTTAATTTGGTTAGTACTTATAATAATAAACCCATTAAATTCAAAGATTATCTGCTATAAGTCACATTATACAGAAACCAAAAACAAGAGTGAAAGGGTACTATCGATGCCTTGGACTAGTGGAATTCCTACTCTCCCCTCAACAGCCTCAGCTATCACACTTAACAGGTAACGCTACGACATATGGACTAAGTAACTGTAGTCACCACTCAGTGTTCTGGAGGTACAGGTTCCTGGATTCCCCACATATTCCAAAACTGGTGGATGCTCAAGTCCCTTATATAAAATGATATAGCATTTACACATAGTCCATGCTTTTGTTAAGATGTATATTATAGTAATTTAGAGATAACTTAAAGTAAACGTCCTCCTGGGTACTTCACGTTATCTCTAAATTACTTATAATACACGTCTTAATGAGCTACCTGCCTAGCTGATACTGTAAACAAATGATCCCAGTTGCTACAAGTACACATTGTGCATTATGAGCCCACTTGTGGCAGTGTTACTGGGATGTATGATGTATAAAACAACAGAAAGCCGATGAGAAGTGTGTGCTATCCCTTTTTGTGGTTAAGTTTTTGCTGTAGTGCACGGGCACTTGAGATAGGTGGCAGAGGAGAGAGGGAAAGTGAGAAGTCAGCCCCCAGGAAGGGATGGCCACACCCAATTCCTTCTCCATTCTCCTCTTGGGATTTTGGCAACACACACACGCCCATTGCAACTTTCTTTTCTTTTCTTTTTTAAGAGAGATTTTTGCAATAGAGCATGTTTGCTCACCAGAGAGACAGAAAGCAAGAAATCACCCCTCACAGGGGATGTAGCCACACTGCGATCCCTTCTCCTCCATTCTCCTCTTGGGATCTTGCGCACTCACACACACACACACCTGGCATGAGTTTTAAGCCAGGACTCAAACCATGGTCAACTACACGGAAGTTCAGCAATGTAACCATTATGCCATCTGCTAGTCCCGTTAATGAGTTATTAATAAGATCTGTGGTCCCCGAAAAGGGGTCTAGATGCCTAACTACATTTTATCTTATATTTTATACAGTTAATACTTATATCTATACATTTTATATTTCCTTTTTAAAATATTTAAAATCAATGTTTATATTTTATGCATTTCCCAAAGTACATAATATAGTAATACATGTATATAATTTCAAAAATTATAGTCATGTACTTATACATATATTTTGGTAGATTCTAGAAATTGATTTTGTAATATATGATCAAAAAATCCTGGAAACCACTAAAATAGACCATGAGCATTTGCCTCAGCCAACATAAATGCTGGTTTAAATCCTCAGGAACAGTGGTTCTCAGCCAGAGGGAGGGAATGAAGATGGTGCATATAAAATCACTTACATATACTAGTTGCCATCCAGCCCTTTTATCCTACTCCACCCCAAGTTGTTTCAACTACTGGGGAAGAGGCTATCAGGGGTGTGGTGTGGTGTGTGTGTGTGTGTGTGTGTGTGTGTGCAATTCAGGTGTTCTGACACATATACTACCTGTGACAACCACAGAATGATAAGAGTGTTAAACAGCTGACCAACTCGGCTACCCTGAAAAGTTTGATCTATCATGGGTAGTAGAGAAAAAAATAAAGTAAAAGACAATTTGGTCTTCTAACACTCCAAAATATGAAATCTACAAAACTTAACCAAAAAGTCTAAACGTAAATGTTTTTCAACAGAAAGAAATTCTTCAGAAATGAAAGAAGTAAAGGAAACAGAATTGAAAGAAGGTGAAAATGGAAAGAGCCCTCTATAGTTAAAAGTAAACTAACTTAAATGTGGTGTGTGTGTGTGTGTGTGTGTGTGTGTGCAATTCCCAGGTGTTCTGACACATATACTACCTGTGACAACCACAGAATGATAAGAGTGTTAAACAGCTGACCAACTCGGCTACCCTGAAAAGTTTGATCTATCATGGGTAGTAGAGAAAAAAATAAAGTAAAAGACAATTTGGTCTTCTAACACTCCAAAATATGAAATCTACAAAACTTAACCAAAAAGTCTAAACGTAAATGTTTTTCAACAGAAAGAAATTCTTCAGAAATGAAAGAAGTAAAGGAAACAGAATTGAAAGAAGGTGAAAATGGAAAGAGCCCTCTATAGTTAAAAGTAAACTAACTTAAAAAAAAAAAAAAAAAAGGAAACTATCTTTTACAGAGAGAAAGAAAAAACTGAAGTTACCTTGTCCTCCCCAATCTGAATTTTTTTTTCTCCCAGGACATGCTGGGCAGGCTCCCGGATATGCAGTCGCTGTGGGCTAATTCTCTAAAACTTCGATATCCTAAATATGACTCTACATAGAGATTCTAATATGCCACATGCCAATCAGATCTTGTTTGGGATAATTACACAGCTATCGATACAAGTGCAATAAGAGAAAAGGAGTCATTGTAGTCATGTGTTGATAAAGACTTATGTGTCAACTAGTCACATCTGGAATAATGATCTATCAAGGACTCCAGCTCCACTTGGTACAGGCACTGCTGTCTACCTCTGGTGTGGTCAATGGCAGACCTCACAAATCCAATCCTTTTTAGTGATGCAACTACCGGACAAGAGAATAACTGTGTTGTGCCATAGAAATCTTCTAGTCAGGGCCTAAAATGTAGAGACATGAGTAGGGAAGAGAAAAAGGAAGCATAATGGTCAAAGTCACTCTACCAATGAGTTCCTCCCAGACAGCAGCTTTGTTGCCCCGCAGGCTCAGTTCTCGCTCCCAGGTCTCTGGCCTAGGAAGCTTCATCCGCTTCCCGGCTCTGCTGGAATCCCACGGCCCAGGGAGGCGACTTCGGGAAAAGAGCTGTAGGTTGGAGGGATATCTAGGACAGAGGAGAAAGAACCCATCATTTCAATGCTAGCAGAAAATGACCCAGAATAAAGAAAGGTGAGTCAGACAAAATCAGTCAGTCAAATTTATAGGCCATGTCTGCCCAAATTGTTATTGCTGTGGTTGAGAATTACTGTGCTTAAGGCCATTGAGGATGAAAAGTCATGGGGTTAGCTATGGGATATTTGTTCAGGGTGGAGCTTCTCACCTATAGCCCAGCAGGGCATGGACATGCTGGGCAGGCTCCCGGATATGCAGTCGCTGTACCAACTTCTTCAGAGTGAACTTCGGCTGACTTGTTCTCTCTGACACTGGATTGTAGGCCTCCTCAAACTGTGGAAACATCCCCAAATCCCACAGGGGTCATTTCATCCATGACCGTAGATACTTCCTTCAGAAAGCAGAGCCTAAAACCATCTTGTATCTATAAGGTCATTTCTTTCCTCAAAATAGATTTGGGCAGAGTAGGAATAGAGTCTAAATCCCTCCAACAACAAAAACTCCCATGATGAGCATAAGACAGCAGCTCTTTGGGGTCACTATGCTGCATTCACACAAGCTAGAACAATCAGTGGCTCACATGGGATGACTAGATTGTGAAAACCAAGATGGAGACAGAATGAACAGAGAACATCCGTGTTCTTAGAGAGAAAAGGCTCTAAACAGGTAAAGGGCAGTATCAGCACACTGCAGGCTACAAGGACTTGAAAGGCTTTCAGAAACTTCTAAGGGAGAAGAGCTAAGATCAGGACGTATTAATGGGAAGAAGAGAGAAGACCAATTGACCAAATGAAAATCTGTTTTTGCATGAAACACTAATGTATACTTTCCTAGTAATCTGTTTTAATGATGATGAGGTAGTAATAACTAACACTTATTTAGTGCCACTTATTGTTAGAAATATTTCAAGTACATAGGACCAGCAGTTGGTGTAATGGCTATGTCGCTGGACTCCCACGTAGTCGACCACGGTTCGAGTCCCAGACCCGGTGGCTTAAAACTCATGCCGGGCGCGTGTGCGTGCATGCCCAAGATCCCGAGAGGAGAACAGAGGAGAAGGGATCGCGGTGTGGCCATCCCCCCTGGGGGGTGATTTCTTGCTTTCTATCTGTCTCTCTGTCTCTCTCTGTCTGTCTGGCGAGCACACACACCCTATAGCAAAAACCTCTCCAAAAAAAATTAAAATTAAAAAAATAAAATAAATATTTCAAATACAACAAAAGAAAAAAAAAGAAGAAAAAAAAGTATTTTGTATATAGTAACTGATTTCATTCTTACAACAACCCAGCTGTGTAGGTTTTTCTATTATCTCCATTTTATACAGGAGGAGACAGAGGTAACAGAGGTCGTTTAACCAAGATTTCATAGCCAACAACGGGTGGGGATAAGATTCAAACGCAGGGGATCTGAATCCAGATTCCATGCTTTTAACTACTAAGTATAATGCCTTATTTGTCATAAAATAAAAAGATTATGTTTGTTTTTAAACCTTCCTATGGAAGGGACCAGCAGATGGCATAATGGTTACTTCACTGGACTCTCACATAGTCGACCACAGTTTGAGTTCTGAAAACACGGGAGACTTAAAACTCATGCTGGGCACACATATGCATGTGTCCCCAAGATCCTGAGAAGACAATGGAGAAGAAGGGATTGTGGTGAGGCCATCCCTTCTGGGAGGGTGAGTTGTCACTTTCTGTCTCTCTCTGTCCCTCCAGCGAGCACACACCCTATAGGAAAAAAAAAAAAACTTTCTATGGGAGAGATATTTCATAATTTTTTAAATTCATTTATCCCATTTGTCACCTGCCCAATAGAGTGAAATTTTTTTAAAAAATAAAATAAAATAAAGAAAGGGAAAAAGAAAAAAACCTATTCAAACCAGTGCTCTCAGGGAAC